GCTAGACCAATTCACAGTTTGACCAACAGTACCTGTCCGTAAATTACTTTGTATTTACTGTGTATATAGTTTGCATTTGCTATGCAGTTGACGTGCTGTTTCTTATTGAATGTAAATTCCCAAAGGACTGGAACTTTTGTTCTTGTCCTTGTATCCCCAACATCTAGAAGGCTGCTGGAGCATAGTAGGTGCTTTATAAATACAAGTTGTTGAAAGTAGTATAGAGAATTCCTGCATTTGGGGAGAAGTCAGCCAGGACTTGTACCTCTAATTTATCTCCTTCCAGATAGGTTGTGCAGTGGATAGTGGACTGGACCAGGAATTAGGAAGACTTGAGTTCAAATCTGGCTTCAGTTAGTTACTAGCTATGTGACTGCGTTAAGTCACATAAAGTAAGTCACTTAAAAATTTTTTAAAATAAGCTTTTATTGATATTTTCTGTTTCTTATGTCACCACAGTTATCCCAAGTATCCCTTTCCCTCCCAGGAAGCCATCACATATGACAAAGTATTTTTTAAGAGAGTACAACCAATTGAATACATTGTAAATAATCTCAAAACATGTACACTGTGTGGTACCTGTGGACCTCCCACTTCTGGGAAGAGATGAGTTGGGGTTTTCATTTAAATTCTGCTTCTTTAAAGTTTGCTTTTGCTTCTTTGGTGTGTGGCCATTCTTTCCATTTACATTGATGTAGTCACTGTGTATACTGTTTTCTTGGCTCTGCTTACTTCACTCTGCACCAGTTCATATAGGTCTTTCCATGGTTCTCTGTACTCATCATATACATTTTTTACAGCAAAGTACTGTTCCCTTACATTCATGTACCACAATTTGCTTAACCATTTCCCACTGGATGGGCATCTACTTTTGTTTCCAATTCTTAGCTATCACAAAAAGTGCTGCTATACATATTCTGAAGTATATAAGGACTTTTTTTTTTCTTATCAATGGCTCCTGTGGAGTATAAGCCCTGGGCAAGTCATTTGACCTCTGCTTTGGTTTCTTCAGCTGTAAAATGGGGATAATGATAACAGCTATCTCCTGGGGTTTTATGAAGACAAAATGAGATAATATCTGTAAAGCACTTTGCAAAACTTAAATTGCTATATTTAAATAGCTGTAATCATTATTATTATTCCAACTCACTTTTCATACTATTACTAGGAGAATTTTCCTTAATTTTTTTTTGTTTGTTTAAGGTTTTGTATAATCTGTACCATCCTACCTTTCCATATTGACCTCTGGCTCTAAAATCAGAGGACCTGGGTTCAAATTTCACTTCTGATGCTTGCTGGCCTGGGCAAATCACTTAAATTTTATGTGTCTCAGTTTCTTCATCTGTAAAATGGGGGTAATGATGACACCTACCTACCTTGATGGCCTTGGCAAGTCACTGAATCATCCTGGGCCTCAATTTCCTGAAAGCACAAGACTAGATCACGGGTCCCTTCCAGCTGGAAGTGTGTAGACTATGCCACACAGCCAAAGAGTATTATTTACTATTCTCAGAACACAGGATTATATGCCCGGAATTGGAAGAAATCTTAGAGGCCACCTAACCCCACCCATACCTGAAAATGAATCCTCCTTAAAACATATCCACTTGCTACTATCCAGCTATTACCTAAAGACCTCCAAGAAAGGGTAATACTACCCACCAAGGCAACTCATTCCACTTTTGCTCTAGCAGTTAGGTAGTTGTTCCTTACATCAAGCCTACATTGCCTCAATTATTCATTGTTCTTAAATTCAGCCTTCTAGGCTCAAACAGAAAAAATGAGTATGTCTTCCAGAGCAGAGATGTCAAATTCAAGTGGCCCACAAAACTCTCCTGTGGGCAGAACCATATTAAAATGTAATTGGGAAATGTTTGACAATATAAATAAAAATACAGTTCAATGTAGATAATGTTAATTTGTGGTTTTCTAAGACAACATGCCATGCAGGAATCCCTTTCTATTTGAGTTTGATATCTCTTCTAGAACTACTCACGGGTAAGTGGTTAAGTCCTGAGAGTCAGAAGAAGAGTCAGAAGGGGAATGAGGCTTGATTGGCTTAGGCTTGTTCCTAGCAACAGTTCCATGGAAAAAAATTTGCCAACTCAAGGAGGTCTTTGAGACAGAGGGATTTCAAAGCAAAAAAGCCCCAAGTACTGAGCAAAGTCTCAGAGTGACAGAGCAGCTGAGGCAAGGTGACAGAATCCTGAGGGTCAGAAAAAAGCAGGTGTGAAATCACAAAAAGAAAAAATTGAGAATTTAAAAGAAATTAAATTACAAAGCTTTTCCATGCACAAAATCAAGGTGGGTAAGACAAGAGGAGAAAAGTGGTATTGGAGGCTAGGGGGGATTCTTTGCATCTACTATCTCTGAATGTTGTCTCATTATAATGACCAAGCTTGATACCGTAAGAAAGTTGGAAAATATGTACCTACCCTCTTTTTCACAAAGGTGTGTGGGGGAGGACTACGGGTATGGGTATGGGATATCATGTATGCTGATAGACAGGGTTGATATGTTGGTTGGTTTTACTGAAGTGCCTCTGCCGCCTCCTCCTCCTCTCTCTCTCCTCTTCCTCTTCCTCTTCCCAATCTTCTCAAAAGGTGGTTCATTCAGTAGGAGAAGGATATATTCAGAAATAAAAGTAATGTAAAAACAAAAGATATCAATAAAACTAAGTTTTAAAAAGGTAATTCAATCTAGTTCTGTCAAACTCAAATAGAAATGGGGCCACTGATCCATACAGAGGGATCCTTGAAGGCTGCACGTTGACTTAGTTTTAAAATGTAGCTGTCTCTGCTTTATTGCATTTTTATTTGTTTTGTTCAACGTTTCCCAATTACATTTTAATCTGGCCCACCCCTTTGGAGAGTTTTGTGTGCCATGAAGGCAGGCCAGTGTTTGTCACCTCTGATCTTATCCAACTTCCTCATTTTACCAGTGATAAAATGGAGGCTATTTACTCAAGATCACACAGACAGGTCTGAGGTTTGAAACCAGGCTCTTTGACTCTTAGGATCATAAATTCATAGACTTTAGAGGTGGAAGGGACTTCAGAGTCCATCTGGTCTAAGCCCCTCTTTTTTTTGTTTTACAAAGAAAGAAACTGAGGCCCAGAGAGGTTAAGTAACTTGACTTGTTCCTTGTGATTATTCAAGGTTACTAAACTGGCAGAACCAAATTTGAGACTTAGAGCCCTAATTCTAAATTAAGAACTCTTTCCAAAGAGTAGGTTACTAAAATGGAAGTCTTTCTTTTTTTCCTTTTTTCCCCATTTAATAGTATTTTCTTTTTTCCAATTACCTGCAAAGACAGTTTTCAATATTCACTTCCATAAGATTTTGAGTTCCAATTTTTTTTCTCCCTCCATCCCCAAGATAGCATGCAATCTGATATATGTGCATAATTCTATTAGACATATTTCCACATTAGTCATATTGTAAAGGAAGAATCAGATCAAAAGGAGAAAACCAGGAGAAAGGGGAAAAAAAGAGAAAATGGTATGCTTCAATCTGCATTCAGACTCAATAGTTCTTTCTCTGGATGTGGATAGCATTTTCCACTGTGAGTCTTTTGGAGTTGTCTTAGATCCTCGTATTTCTGTGAAGAGCTAGGTCTATCCAAGTTGTTTATTTCAGTGTTGCTGTTACTGTCTACAGTGTTCTCTTGGTTCTGCTGACTTCAGTCAGCATCAGTTCATGTAAGTTTTTCCAGGTTTTTCTGAAATCTGCCTGCTCATCATTTCCTACAGAACAATAGTATTCCATTACAATTCATATACCACAACTTGTTCAGCCTTTTCCCCAGTTGTTGGGCATCCCTTCAATTTGCAGTTCTTAGCCACCACAATGAGCTGCTATAAATATTTTTGTACAAATGAGTCCTTTTCCCTTTTTTGTGATCTCTTTGGGGTACAGGCCTAGTAGTGGTATTACTGGATCAAAGGGTCTGCAGTTTTATAGCCCTTCGGCCATAGTTTCAAATTGCTCTCCAGAGCAATTCACAACTCGGACAACAAAATGGAAGTCTTTCTACACCATTACCCTCCCTCTCAAAATCTTCTTTTCTCCATGTTAAACATTTCCACTTCCTTCAACCCATCCTTCTGTATAGTTACAGAGGTTTTAAATACACATCTTGAAACGGAACTGGATCTCTGATGTGGTAGATATAGGAAACTCCTGCTAAAAAGACTCCTACCAAGCCAGATGCGCACCTCCTTTGTAAAAGTCTTAGAAAGTTGGTTGGGGGGAGGGGGAAATGGGTGCTTAAATGCCTTGCCCAGGCTCACTCCGCGACAGAATTTGGACTTGAACCCAGGTCTCCCTGACTCACAGGGCCAGATTTCCATCCACCCCACCACATTAGGGTCACTCTCTCCACGTCCTCAACCCACTCCCAAGACCAACGAGTATGTTGGAAGGTAAAGCTTAGGGGAGATTTCTTTATGGAGAGGAAGGCAAAGCAACTCCCAGGGAAGAAAAGGTTAGTCACTGCTCTGGGCTCTCCACCTAAGGTTGTAGGCAAACAGGCCTCCTGGGCATACGGGACACGTGAGGTGTTGGCCTTTGCTCCCTGTCTTCACTACGTGAGGCTGGAAAAACAAGCATCCCTATCAGACCAAGTCTCTGGCAATAGCTACTCAAGGGAAAATAACATTTGCCCCGTGTTGGGGCAGGAAGGGCAGCTGGGGGGTGGGGCACAGGTGAAGTCAGGACAGCGCTTCACCGGGGTCCCTTCTACCTGCCCCGCTGGGGTCCTCTCCAGCCTGCCCCGGGCTGGGCGCAGCCTCTCTCTGAGGCTGCCCCGGTACCCCGCACCCCTCTAACCCCACCTCCCTTTCCTTGGCTGCGGAGAAAACCGGGAGCCCTGGAATCCGCACATGGAAACTCTCGTGCGTGGCTCCAGCCCGGAGCACTGGGCATGCTCAGTGAGCCCGGGCAGGTTTTTTGGTCGCGAGCAGGAAGCTTTTTTTTTTGCACTACATTCATCGGCTGCCAGGGGAAGGAGCCGCGGTTACGTGGTCGCCGCTGCCCTTGTCGGGGTGGGGGGGCCGCCTGTCACCGCACGGCACAACGCAGCGCAGCGCCGCGCCGCGCCCGGCCAGCCCGCCCGGCCAGCCCTTCCTCGCCGCCCGCGCCTCTAGCCTCCCGGGTCCTCGCCGCAGCCCCAGCCGCCGGCCATGGCCGCACTCGGCCACCTCTCCACCTTCGGCCGGGTCACCCACGCCGTGGTGCGGGGACTGCCTGAGTCCCTGTGCCAGCACGCGCTCCGGCGCCAGAAGGGCGACGAGGTGGATTTCGCCCGGGCGGAGCGGGAGCACCAGCTCTATGTGGGGGTGCTCAGGAACAAGCTGGGGCTGCAAGTCGTGGAGCTGCCGGCGGACGAGAGCCTGCCCGACTGCGTGTTCGTGGAGGACGTGGCCGTGGTGTGCGAGGAGACAGCCCTCCTCACCAGACCCGGGGCGGTGAGCCGGAGGAAGGAGGTAGGGCGGCGCGCCGGGGCCAGCAGAGGCTTGGGCTCTGCTGGCAAGGCTGGCCAGAGCGGAGAGACGAGGGAGGGCTTCGCAGGTCGGGGCGCCCCTCCCCGCGCGCCCGCCGCTTAACAGCGACATTTGCCCACTGTCAAGGAAGAATTGGCTCCCGCACTAGTTAGGAACTTCCCGTTTCTGGGAGAGAGTGTATATGAGGCAGAGAAACACACATATACATTAGAGAGAGAAAAAGATACACAGATAAGTTCATTGTCATTTTCCCCTGACTATTTGCAAAGGTTTGCGTGTTGTTCTGATGCTGAAGATCTTAGAAGTGTTATTTCTGCTTTCTTGCAGGACTGGGCGGGGTGAGTGAAAACCGCCCCACTCCATCCCACCTCCCCCCACCCCACCTCCCACACACATGTATTTTTGTTTGTTTGTTTGTTTTGCAGAGAGAGACAGAGAGAAAAGAAAAAGAATGTAACTCCCAGCTGTTTGTCAGGGAGAGAAGAGCCCGTGTGTGCGGTGTGCTCTTAAGGCGTGGCAAGCAGGCAGGCTGGTGGAATGATGGGAGAGGGACTTGAGGGAGATGCTCCCGTTTGTCACAATGAAGCAGAGATCAAGTAGCGTCTTGGCCGCTTAGGAGCTGTTTGGGGGCCGAATAAATGGGGGTGCGAGCGTGCTCACGGAGATCTCGGTTACTTTTACAATGCTGGCTAGTGAGTCATGCAGAATGGCAAAGGAGAGCGAATGAATGCAGATGGGGGGAGGTGTGGGTCAGTTTCGTTGGTTTGGTAAGTGTTGGAAGGAATGGGGTATATTTGGAAAGCTGTACTCTGTGTGGGGCGGTTGTGGGGGGTGTTTCTGTGTCTCTGTGTGTGTGTGTGTTTCAAATAGAAATACCCTCCGAATCGAGTTATTTTTTAGTCTCATTAAAAGCAATTAAGAGATTGTTCTGGTTGTGTGTTAAAGAGATAGTGACTGTATAAAAAAAAAAAGCCACAACAGCATGTTGAAAATTGCAGGGAATGCTTCAAACACAATATAGGTCAACACTGAGAGACAAACTGGGTGAGATTTGATTTTCAAATGCCATCTGGCCAGGGCTGCACCAGTGCCTACTCACAGCTAAGGCCCAAAGAAGTGGTTGCTGTTAGTATTCAATAACATTGCAAGAAACTGGATGCTTTCTTTCATATTGGGAGGTGGTTTTTTTTGTCTTTATTCTTTTCACACATTAGGGCATTGGCACGTGTTAAAAATGTTTGGTGGACTTTGGGAACCAAGTTATATCGATTTTACACAGGTGCTTCTTGTTTGAGAGGACATTACATATTCTTAGTGAATAAAAACAGTCCATTAATTAATAACCCTCTTCAGCAATCCTTTTCTCATATTTCGGAGAACAAAAAAGGACATCGGGTCTCATTTCTCAACCACTTGTTTTCCCTTTTGCCTCCCAACTCTTTGATTTTGTGGAGGCTGAAATTGAAAAAAGTTCGATACTAATGGAAACATTTCTGCTGTGCTCTTCACCAAGAGACGGGGCTGCATGTAGCTTGCGCTTTAGGAGAAAATAAAAACATTCTCAGGAGCTTTTCAGAATGGTGCCTGTTTGATGGTGGCAGTCCAATTTCTCTTCAGGAGATTGTTCTAAGGTACCTGTGATTTCCTATGATGGTGTCACTTTCCTAAGAAGAAAGTGGTCAGTGACCTCCCAACTGTTGAGTAATACATTGTAAGTTGACTTCATTCTTTCCTGTCCAGGTTTATATATGTGTATGTAAGTGTGTGTATACATAAACACATGCATGTATATATGTGTGTGTGTATATATATATATATATATATGTGTGCGTGTGTGTACATATATTATATATATATATACTTATATCCATTATGACTCTACACACACACAGAGTGTCATAATGGATTTATTTTTTATTTTGAGTTGCTCATGTCATTAATTCAATTACATGGCATTTTCTCCTTCCCTTTATGGGAAGTAAAGCTAATGTTTTGAATATTCAACCTAATTAATATGCCATGCTGCTCCCAGGGTCAGTCAAATGCTTAGAAATGGTCCCTCTTTCATAAGTAGGCTAGAGTAGGATGCCTGCCACTAAGGTGGAGACCAAGTGGCTAGAATGTGGAATAAAAGCAGTGAGTAATAATATTCCCAGTTGGCATTTGTTTGCTGTTATACAGTTACAAAGTTACAAAGGTAGGTTGCATAAGAATTACTCCCACCATTTTAAAGATGAGGAAATGGGCTTCTCGGAGAGAAATGGTCTGTGTTCACATAAATAAATGGCAGAGCAGGGATTTGATCCTAGGTCTTCAGACTCCTAATCAGAGTGAAATATCCTGTCTCTTCAGTAGATTAGGTGTGTTTGACTGAACAGAGATATTGTTTAGACATTTGTCCCTACCATGCCCCTGGCACCTAAGCAGTGTATTGCACAGAATAGTTGTCCAAACTGTTGTGGGTTTTTTTTAAGTAATGAAATGTCTGAACCAGTCCAGCTGCTAGGAAAAAAAACCAAGACTGACCTCTCCACGCATCACTGTAAGGCATCTGAGTGCAATGTGAATGGAGAAATATTACCTATGTGATTCAGCAATAGCCGAAAGTACCATTTTTATGATTTTAAAATAATTCAGGTTATTCAGATTATATGGTTCTATACTAGCCATCTAGGTGGTTTGGTGGCACAATGGATAGAGAGCTGGGCCTGGAGTCAGGAAGACCTGTGTTCAAATCTAGCCTCAAACACTAGTTGTGTGAACATGGGCAAGTCACTTCACCCCGTTTGCCTCAGTTTCCTCATCTGTAAAATGAGCTGGAGAAGGAGATGATAAACCACTCTAGTATCTTTGCCAAGAAAATTCCAAAAAGAGTATTGAACTTTGGATATGGCTGATATGACTTAACAACATCAGCTATAATGCCTCTAACATCAGCTATAATGCCTCTTCCTTCTTCATATTTGGGATTTTGCCTGAACTACCATTCAATATATTCACTGATGTTTTAGTACAATTGGGATTTACTTCTACCTGAATTTCAGTTTTATGAGTGTAATCTCTTAGACTGTATTTGAACTCAGATGATCTGCATTACATCTGGGTGATCTTCATTTGGGGAGGCTGATGATATTCAGCTTACTTATTTATTCCTTCCTCTTCCCTCTGAAGAAAGCCCAATCTCTCCTTCTTCACTCTGAAGAAAGCCCAATCTTTCACCCTAGTTTGAAGACATTTTGTTAGTTAATAATGATTAAAAGACAGTGTGGTGGAGTGGAGAGAGAGCTGATCTTCAAGCCACACAAATCTACGTTTGGGTCCTGCCTCTGACACATACTGACTGCAACTCTGGACAATCACAAATCACAAGCTCTTGGTGTTCATGGCAGTTCTCTAAGATTGGCAGTTTTAGAGAATGTAACGGTGTACATTGGCAGAGGAAATTTGCATAGTGGGTAGTTACCCATATCAATGAAATCACAGGTCCAGTCTCTACCCATTTGGTGGAGGAGAGGAATAGTAATTCCTCAATAACTGATTGACTATTTGTCAGTTTATAAATTACTTGAAAACAAGTTAGCATGATGGATATCCAATATCTTCTTTTTAAGGACAAATGCCTATGTTAGGGATTGGTCCTGTGATTTCACTGGAATAGGAAATTCCTTCTACCAATACAAGTTGACATTTTCTCTGAAACTTAGTCTTAGACGGCTTCCTGAAAAAGAGAAGTTGAGTGAGTGACTTGCCTTTTTCAGAGGTCAGAGGACCCTAACCGCAGAAGAGACAATGTGAAGGCACTTGGCTGCCTGGTGAAAAGAGATGCCAAAAGGGAGAGACAATACAGAAAGGAGAGGGGAGAACCAGGCATGAACAGCAATAATAATAATTTGCACTGACCACTTTGTATCAGATATTCCACTTGAAACCAAATCTTCCTGGTTCTGAGGCCAGATTTCTATCAATTATACCATACTGCCTTTTAACCATTATTAACAACACCAAAAATTCTCCAACCTTGTAAGATTGGATTTTCCTAAGAAGTATGAGGTAGAAGTCAATGAGTAGGTGAATTTCCATTTTTATCTTCATTAACTTTACTCCGTGTTGGAATTACTTGGTGATATTCATACTTTTGATGATATAACATTGACAACATTTAAAAGATATTTTTGAAATAGAGCATTTTTAAAGATAGGCGTGTATTCACCCTGTTTATTCACTCTCTACCATCGTTCTGAATGTCAAATCTTTTGAAATAAATGTTTTAAGATCTGATCTAACACACCAAGTTACATTTCACAAAACCTTTTAAAATCATGATTAGTGGTCAGTGCAAATTATTATTATTGCTGTTCATGCCTGGTTCTCCCCTCTCCTTCCTGTATTGTCTCTCCCTTTTAGCATCTCTTTCACCAGGCAGCCAAGTGCCTTCACAATGTCTCTTCTGCAGTTAGGGTCCTCTGACCTCTGACAAAGGCATGCCTGAGGGAATAGGGAAGGGTTCAGAGGTGGTCAAAGATGTAGCTAACTGGCTGACCTTGAGATAGGGATTCTTCACCACAGAGACCTGTGCGTCAGACCTTGGACAGCTCATAGCTCTGCCCAACCCAGAAGACTCCCCCAGAGACACAGATAAAGTAGGGCCTCACAGAAACAGAGAAAAAGCCACATAAGAATAATGCTTCTCTTTTCTATCCCCTCCTACCACTCAGGCAATCAATCTATTAATCATGATTGATTGAGGCCTACTGTGTGCCAGGCACTGTGCTAAGTGATGGAGAGTTCTTACCTGGCTTACCATTTTCCTTCTCTTTAAAGACAAAGCCCCTGCAATAGCAGGAGTCACACAGGTAGCACCACGGTGGAATAGAGGTTGGTGTAATCTTCAAGTGTGCTGGGAACATCTACCGCCTAGTGGCCGACCCAGTTTACCTGCCTTGGCTTTCTTTCTTGGGGATGAGGAGGGGAGAAGGGGACTT